AAAATTTACTTTGAAATTGATACAAGATAACAGTTACTTAAGATTACAAATAAGAAGCATTAAAAAGATTTAATATAAATGTTTAATAAATTATTGGGTCAAGCGGGTGAGGAAACTGAATTGACAAATTTGACTGAATATTACATCATATGAAATGTTTTGATATTCCTATGGAGAATAGAACACCAATAATAATGGAAAAGTGATGCATGTTTGAAAATTAATATGAAACCACAGGATGAATAAGAAATATGTCCTTAAATTTAAATCATAAACAATTAAAATAAGTACATAATAAAAAATTAAATAAAAATATTAACATTAAGAAATTAATAAAAGCGGTCAAAGTCTACGTTTACAAAATGGCGAACTTTAACATAGCGAAAACCTATTCCGAGATCATGTCATTGTTTAGAAAAATACCTATAAAAATTTTATACCAGACCGCCAAAATTTAATAACATTATAAAGTTAGTGAAGAATCACATGGCCCATTGCAAAGAAATGCTTAAAATTAAAAATAAATTAGAAAAGGTAATTTTAGAAGAAGACAAAGTTATCGATAAAATGCGCTTGCATTAAATGGCGTTAGAAAAATGGCGGTCTGGTACTCTAAGCCTAAATCAATGGAACATCGGACTTTAAACGCTCATTAATGGAAAATAAACCTCTCCAGAGGCTTAAAAAGACTCACCAGAGATGCCTTGGGGAATTACATATTAGCTTTCATAAACTTTAAAGAGAAAATATCAGAATTTTAAGGTTTTTAAGAATTTATTCAGGAGCTACAGTAGAGAAGTTGTCACTGAAGTGGGAGCCGGACTAGATGCTATTACCTGATGGGAAAAAGAAAAGCATTTGCTTTAAAGATATTTAAATAGCAAATAACAGACAGCATGGTTTCAAGCTCTCCATTCTCAAGACTTGCCAGGCGTAAATAAGAAAAAACAAAAGTGATTTGAAGCGAAGCCTGGAAAATGACAGCCAGGATAATGACAAATTCGCCATTTTATAGCATATAACTTTACTTTAATTTAATATTTTGGTCTAAGACGTTTACATTCTGCAGAAAACAACAGGCTTTCTTAAGATAACTCAGATAAATCTATGTAGTTTATATTATTAATGATTTCAAGAAGCCAGGAAAAGGACAACACAAAAACCTACTCATCTTGAAAAAATTTTTGAAATAGATTTTGAAAATTGGTTCTTTATTCATGCAACAAGACATATGTTCATGTAGGAGGGTATCTAATCAATCTATTAACATGAGATATTGATTGCTGCCTCGATCTATTTCGTTTATAAACCACTAAATAAAATTAACCAGGAAAATGACAGATTTTCATGGGACAAACAAATTATTGACAGAAAAAATTACTTTAAACGAAGTTTTTGTAAATAATACCCTCTGAGTATATTCTAGAAATGCTTACACCACACAGTGGGCCAGCATCCAAGGTTTCGTGGCCAAAATTAGTATTTCGATAAAATTTGTTTCAAAATTTGTATTTAGGGGTTTTTATGTGCAGGTTAATTGAATTTATAGTTGAAATTTTGAAGTACACTAAAAATACCCGAAAAACAAACAAAAGGGGGGCGAGCAAAAATAAAAAAAAATAATATTGAACCTTTAAATAATTAAATATAGCAGTGGAAATATAATAATTTTCGTAATTTTGAATGAAAAATGAAAAACATATTATATTTTCGAATAATATCTATAATAACAATCGCTTCAAACAATTAATTTTTTATTAATATATAAAAAATATAACTTAAAATTAGTAAAACAATGTTCGGTCGTAAAAATTAAGCAACATAATCAAGAAATTATTTATTCGTTGATTGTTTAACATAAGAAATGAAATATTTCACTGTTTTTGCTATCAAAAATATAAAAAAATGTGATTATAATGCGATATTTAAGTAACCAACATTCAATCTCCGTCATCTTCGTATATATATATATATATATAATATAAGAAGAGAGTGAAATGATTGGCGAGCGGGTTGGCGAGCCGTAGTAAGCAGGGGGCGGAGCCCTCTAGTGTATATATATATATATATTCTTGTTGTTATTTTGTCAAAGAGAATTTGATGTAGTATTAACATAGTCTATGTAAACCAATGCTCAACTGTTTAGTTTTATAAAAATATATGCACAATTATATTTTAAGAATATTTGCAAGCCTTTCTCGAGTAATAATCAATATCTTGCGATATTATTCCTATCATATATAAATAATCTATTAGTCTTTTGGAAAATATTTTTTTTCAAATAAATTAAATCCAATTCACCTGGAAATTGATACCAACCCCTATCGCAATAATGAAAGAAAGAAAAAGTTTATCTTTGATAGAATATTAGAAACACTTTTGCTCTTTTCTAATAGTGCAGACGATAATAAATGCCCACAGATGTTCGAATTCTCAGACTAATTTCACTTGTAAGAGAACATCGTGCATTTCAAATAACGTTCGATCTTTCGAAACAGAATTTACTTCAATCCAATTCAAAGGGGTTGTATTTTAATGCGATGTTTAGAAATAGGTTTACCAGTTTTTATTTCATTTATTCTTTTGAAATATAGTTCCATCAATTTGTTATGAATTATAATTTTCATATGCCAATTTAAATTTTTTATTTCAAAGATATAAGAAGTAAAAAAAAAACTTTTAACGATCTCATAGCACTACATCAGACTGATAAAAAAAAAAAAAACTTCAGGTAATGCAAGGCGGTGGGATCCATTAAGCTTAAAAAGCAAATAATTAATGGTCACATAAAAGAAGAAAAAAACTTCCATTAATGCCGAGAAGTGGAGTTGAGAATTTATTACTGCATAATTACTAGTCCCATCTGAAATGCGAGTAAAAAGGTTGTTAATGATGAAAATTACCGATATAAATCGTTTTAAAGTTTGTTTAAAAATATTCAGAACTTTTTTACTCATTTATGTATACTATATCGAATAATCTAATACTAATTATAAATCTGTTTTTAAAAGTTAAAAAATAAGTCCTATAAGACAAAAAATGTAAGGATATCTTTGCACAATTTTTATAGAAATTTAAAGTTTCGTTTTGTAAGTTTCACTGAGTTTCAGTTTTTCTTTTTGCATTAAATAGTACAAATTTCAAACTCTGTAAATAAAATAATGCAGGATAGTTAAAATATTTTCTTCCTTTTCTAAAAAGAAAGAAAATTGTTTTCATGGCAAAATGCGGAAAGTTCCAAATGAAGCTTTTTACAAGCTTGTTTTATAAATGACTGCATTTCTGGAATTTTATATAAAAATTGTTCTGACGTGAAGGAACTTTTCGACAGCATAAGATGCAAGATATGTTGGTACAGGTTGAAATTTAGTATATACAAATTCAAGTTTTTCGTCAATGTTAATATTTTGAAAATATTAAATTTTGCTGTTGCGTCTAATGACATTTGGACAAGTCAAGCTCGATAGTCATTGGCTTTTTGCGAATTAAGTCAGCAAGGTATGCCTTTCGTTTCATATGAAAGCACCGCAAGGGTGAATTTACATCTTATTTCAGAACCACACTCATAGATGGCATTCATCATTCGTGTGGCCAGTTCCTCAATTTACTCATAGATCTGAAGGAGAGAGAAATTGTCTCTAGATTCCTGTACCCGTGGTACAATATCAGCAATCAACCACGGGACTTGGGACGGATTCCACAGATTTTACGAGCACATGCACTCGGTTGGTCTCGGTGGAGTTGAGGACCGTAGTCCGATTTTTTAACCTCCGAACTACCACGGTTCAAATTATATTTTAAAGTTTTATGAGCTGGTTATGTTGTAGAAAATTTTAACTTTCTATTTAGAGAGAAAAAAGTAGTAGAATTAAATATAGTTTAAGATTTAGGATAAGTAAACTTTAAGAAAAAAAAAAGGAGAATTTACTTTGTATTAAGATGTAATAAATTTAGCAAGATGTAAAAAATGTATTGCAAATTAAGATGAACGAATTGTAAACACTAAAATAATAAGGAAAATTTCCCGCACACCATTATTATTTTCTTTTAGAAATAATCGAGATGGTTTCTAAGTATTAATTCATATTATTTCATATCTAATCATGCGTTTTATTAATCGAAACATAAATTATGAAAAATATCGATCGAGTAGTAGACATAGGATGAGCAATTTAATCTTATCCTTAAATTACGTTTCTTATTTATTAGATATCTTATTCCTTGAAATAATTTTTTCAAAAATAGAGATAACTTGTAAAGACTAAAAGAAATAATAAAAAATCAAATATTTTTAAGATGTACCATGGTAATGATTAACAACTTACGAATAAAGTTATATATCTCTAATATACTTCACAATCATTATTACCTAAAATTTAAAACCTCCATTTCACTATAAAACTAAATTTCGTGTATCTGAACGCAAACAATGGTGGCAACTACTGAACATGAAAGTGGTGCTCGACTCTATCAAAAACGAAGGTTAGTTCCTGATGTATTGAAACACATATAATGTTCTTTCATTCTACTTGGTGTTAAGTAATTTTTTTTTCAGTAACAATTTTGTGTTTTCAGTAACACTAAAATTTATAATGAGAGAAAAAAAGATATATATAATAAAGTTATTTTTACGATACAACTAGAAGAAGCTTATAGAAATTATACATCATAAAATTATTTATACAGATTGAAGCAACGCCAATTGTTGACACCACTGCTGAAACTGTTGCTGCTGCCCTACTGAATACCTGGATAGCTCGCTTTGGAGTTCCAGAAACTGTAACTACTGATAGAGGAGCACAATTTGAAAGTGAACTTTTTTCACAATTATCCAGAATGCTGGGTATACACAGAGCTGGGTATACACAGAGCTACACAGAACAGCTTACCACCCACAAGTTAATTCAATGGTCGAACGCTTTGACAGACACTTAAAATCGTCCGTTAGAGCCTATGCCACAGAAAAATGGGTCGAAGTCCTCCCACTAATTCTTTTAGGAATGAGAACTGCTATTAAAGAAGACCTCAACTTTTCAAGTGCAGAGATGCTCTATGGCACAACCCTTCGATTGCCTGGAGATTTTTTCCGACCTTCCAGTACTGGCAAAGAATCCCGCAATGTCCCGGGTTTTGTACAAAGACTTCGTGAGTTCATGTCTACGTTGCTTCCTACTCAAGTACCACGGCACAGACAGCACAATATTTTTGTGCATCAAGACTTGAAAACGTGCACACATGTATTTGTGAGAATTGACAGTGGCCGCCGAAGCCTCGAACCTCCGTATCACGGACCACATAAAGATGTGAAACTCAACGACAAAGTGTTCACCTTAAAAATTGGAAATAAAGAATCAACAGTAACCATTGACAGACTTAAACCATGTTTTACAGACAATACGTCCAATGTGCATCCAAGAGTTAAAAATCTCCCCACAAATCCTCCATATAAATCTATTCTAAAGAACAGTATGGAATCTTCACAACAATCAACGAATCTTACACCTTCCAAACCAAAACAGCATAAAGTTAAATTTGAAAACTCTCCTCGATCTTTAACCAAAACTACAATGAGAGGAAGAAAAGTTCAAGCACCTGTTCGTTACCCGCAATAGACATTTGCGCAGTTTATTTTTGGTAACGTTCGTGGACCTCACTGGAGGGGGAGTACTATGGTGAGCTACAGATCTAGCCTCACCTAACTTTATTTAAAGCTTTAAATTTATTTAACACCGTTGGCAACGTTCCGTTGACAACTGAGTTGTAATTTGGTTTTTCACTTTTCCAGTTTTACTTTTTCATTCTCGGCCGTCAAACCAGATGGTTGTGTTCTTGTTTTTAGTTAATAAATTTAGTTTATGTATGAATGATATTTCTTTCCTTGTACATAACGTTCAATAGACCCTCAAAGACACGGGGGCCTAAAGTAACGTTTTAAGAAAAGTAAAGCATAAAGTATAATAACGCTTTAAAGTAACAGTAAAGAAAGAAAAATAATTAAGAAAATCAATTAAGTGAAAGTAAAGCATAAAATATATTGTTCAAGTCTAAAAAATAACGCATAGAGTAAGTAAGAGAAAAAAGGAATGCGTACAAAAAAAACGTGTAAAAAATAGAAAAAGGAAAGCAACGCGCAAATACATACAAATACTCAAAACTAATGTATATAATTCGTGATAGTTAAAAGAAAACCGCAGAAGAAAAGTAAAATTAAAGCATAAAGTGTAACTCGCAAGAAATAAAGTACCGAAAAGTAACGCGGTTAAAGTTAAGCCTGGAAAGTAATGTAAAAATTGTGCAATTCAAAACATAAGAAATCATAATGCGATCCGAAAAAACATAATGCGAAAAATAAAGAATAAAAAGTAAGACGTAATGTATGTTAACGCTTAAAAAGTAACGATTAAATTGAGCTAATACGTGAAAGTTACAAGTNTTTACAATCATTATTACCTAAAATTTAAAACCTCCATTTCACTATAAAACTAAATTTCGTGTATCTGAACGCAAACAATGGTGGCAACTACTGAACATGAAAGTGGTGCTCGACTCTATCAAAAACGAAGGTTAGTTCCTGATGTATTGAAACACATATAATGTTCTTTCATTCTACTTGGTGTAAAGTAATTTTTTTTTCAGTAACAATTTTGTGTTTTCAGTAACACTAAAATTTATAATGAGAGAAAAAAAGATACATATAATAAAGTTATTTTTACGATACAACTAGCAGAAGCTGATAGAAATTATACATCATAAAATTATTTATACAGATCACCGATATATCAAACTTTATGTATCATTATTACACTACTAAGAACGCGTAAACATATTTAAGCAGCGGAATTTTGATCTACTTGATATTGTATAGAGGCAAGGAAGGAATGATACAAACTACTAGAGATTGTGTTACATAGTTCTAAATATAATGACTTAACACAGACATTAATAGAAAAACAGTAAGCTATAAAATTCAAAAAAATTCAGGTAGCACAAGCATTAAAAGGAAAACAGTAAAAAGAGATTAAGAAAAAGAAATGTAAAAGAACGAGACAGTTTTTGGAACGTCGAAGAGTTAGATAATTTTTGTAGAGATGAATCTTTTTGTTTTTAAGGTTTATACTCACCCAGTTCGGATATTTAAATTTATTTTTTCTTGTCGATGCGATTGATGTTTCAAATAAATAATATGTTTTTAATACAAAAACTGTCTTATTCGGTGCAGCGTCAACGTTGATTTTTTTGTAAGCAAAACTAACACATTTATTGTGAACTTGATGTGATCTTTTTTCCAATTTCGGTGCACAGTGCTCTAAAAAAGGGGAAAATGAACAAAAAGGGACCACCCTAAATTTCTTTTGATCTAATGATCGGAATTTAACGTTCTATGATTCAATCTTAATGATTCGAAAGGGTAACCTCAAATATATTCATTAATTAGTGCAGACGATGTCTTAAGTTACGAAATCAGACATGAAAACATACTTTCTCTGAATAAACTCAAAATATTCGGATTTCTGACCTCCAAAATATAGGGTGGGAATATGGATCCTATAGTTTGATCAGGAGAGCGATTCAAAGTTTACTTTTTGCCATATTTATTGCGCATTTCACCCTATCTCTAGAACTTTTTAAAAGAATTGAAAAATGTTTGCACTCATTTACAGAATTCATTTATCCAAAGAAAATTCCATATAAGATATGAAATTTAATAAATATTTATAATTTTATTGAATAAGAGTTCAAAAATTGTAAGGTATATAATTTTTGCATCATTTTAAAGTATGTCATTTTTCATGGAAAAATACAAATATTGAGCGAAATCGGTTGAATAGTTCGTGAGAAATCGAATTTCAAAAATACGCCCTTCTTTAAAATTCGATTTCTCACGAATTAGTCGTAAGATTTCGTTCAAATTTTGTAATTCGCCATGTAAATTTGCATGTTTTTAAATGATGTAAAGAATCGCATACCGTACAGTACAAGACTCTTTGGACTATTATTAAATAAAATAATAAAAAATAAATATTGACTGACGTGTATTATTTTTGGATAAACAAATTTCGTAATTATGTGCAAACATTTTCAATTCGCATAAAAATTCCTTAAAAATTGCGGAATACGAAAAAAGTAAAATTATCATTAAGAGGTCTGAACTTAGGATCGATCTCCAGATCAAACTATGGAATCCATACTTCCCAGACTGCAGCTAACCCCGATATTTTGGGGGTCAGAAATCCTAAACTGTAAGAAAAATGTTATTTTTTTTGAGTAAAAGTACGTTTTCTTTTGTCTGATTTCGTAACTTAAAACATCGTTTGCCATAATTAATTAGCTTATTTGAAGTCACCCCCTTGAATGATTAAGTTTGAGTCCTAAAACGTAAAGATCCAATCAAGAGTCATTCAAAGTGGTCCATTTTTTTTTCTTTTGTTGCACTGTACACTTTTCATTTTTTATGTACATAAAAGCTTTATTGGAGTTAACTTGAAATAAAGTAATCCTTTACATAATTTTTTCTTGGTTTGTTGAACATCAAATTCGAAAAGATATTAAACACCTCAGTAGAGGACATTAATTTCAGCGCAGGACATTAATGCCAGTGTGGGAACTTGACATCCTAATAAAAAGCAGTGTAACACTCTAAGCGTGTTACGCTGGTAATTTGTTTGATGTTTTTATGTTTTATGATACGCTTCTGATTTGCAAAATACAAAATGTTTTTCAAATTTAGACCGAAGTAATCACTCTTAAAATAATGAGTTGTTTCAGTGTGCTTCAAACTATATTCTTTTATTTAAATGTGCGGATTTTAGAAAAAAAAAATCTAAATAAGGGAATTATAAAAAATTCCAAGTATGAGGACTTTTAATGGAATACTTAAATCTAAGTAAGTACGCGTAGACTATAATCCAGACTAAAGTTTATAGACAGCAATTTAAGATATCCGAAGAGCATCTCCTCCTTAAAATAACCGTTTTTGATTAAGTTTTCTTTCGAAACTTATAATAGTCTCGTAAGAGCTCTCATTGCTAAGTAGTCTACAGACAGTCTTCTTCAAATTAAACATCCTTCACGATATCTACAATTTTAAAAAGGAAAAATGCTGCAGAGAGAAATAGTATTTGCTATTCGTCTGCAGTTACGGTTATAATAATATTATTAAACAGTGAGTAAAGTTTGTTTTTACTTAAGAATAACGCAGCTCCACTTGAACTGAAATACAGCTTAACTTAACTTACAGTAAGGTAAGGTTATAGTTCGTCTAAAGTAAGAACTCCCCTAGCCATACATCTGGACCTGTGGCGGTGACTATGGTAATGAGGCATAACTATTTTAAGAAGGGGTGTAGGCTCATTATATAGGACAGGTTTTGGCTTGGGTCGGCGGGAGAGAGAGCAACTTTTTCTTCCGTCTATTATGTTAGCTCTAGAATGAAGAGAAGATGATCTCCCTGAAATACGCTATTCTTGTTTCCATAGCAGCAGACGGTCTCAGACTTTATGGCGGGGGGAGTTCTCACCGTAGACAAGCTATGCACAGTAAGGTTACAAACTAGTACAAGTAAGGTCTCAATAATTTTGAGCGATATTCTGGTACAAGAGCAGTTTTCAAAAGCTGAAAATATGACTGAGATCTGAATTTGAAGCTCTGACTACTGTCGAAATTAAATTTAATGAACAGTAAAATGTTAGAGTAAATGTATAATTCCGTCTAGAAAAAGAAATTAATATGAATAGTTACAAAAATTTCGTCAAATACTTAAAAAAATATCGAACGACTTTTAATATATTCATGATATTAACTGAGCTAATAGGGAGGATTCACACTTTCAAGTTAGTTGTCGTACGCTCCTGTACGTAAGATTTAATCTGTTGAGCATGCTATGAACTTATTTTAGTTGCTAGGAATCTTTACGTTATGTTGGCGGGGTTTACGCTACAGAGAAAAAACTACAAGCATGCTGTTTTTAACTGTTAAATGTTGTTTTCTGTTTAAACCTTCCTTCGAACTAAAAACATGGAATGCGAAATTGAAGAAATGTGTTGATGAAATTTAGAAATGAATCGTCTGATCTTACGACAACTGGTTTATTCAATAAAAAAATAATTTTTTGTTTTTTTGTTTAGCATTACAGTTTTCTAATTGCACTAGATCCATAAAAAACTAGCTATATTTTTGCTATTTTAAAATTATAAATTATATTTATATTAACTATAAAATTTAATTTTAAAAAATTAAATAATCATTAGTATCAATAATATTTTATAAATATTAATAATAATAATAATTTGCATTTTTTATAACTGAATTCACAAAAATCTATAATCTACCAAGTTTTTCTGCTCACAAAACCATAATTTTAAGTCGAGCAAAGCATCTTGAATCGTATGCCACAGCCTTAAAGAGATCGACTACATCCATTGTAAATGTTTGTTTTGATTTTGTGGTGAAATTTAAAATGATATTTCACTAAGTTTTAGCATTTTTAACTTTCGGATTCTTGCAAAATTTCTTATTTTCACTTACGTAAGTTAGATATTTTTCACGGGAGCATGCGCATTTCACCTGAAAAGACGCATGAGCTATAGAAGTGCGCATGCATCAATTACTTGCA